AAAATAAAAGTCATGTGAAATGCTAGCTTCTAGCAAGGGTTGCAAGATAATTTAGGAAGAAATCCCTGCTGCCAATTAGAAAAGACGCTTTTGTTTATTGAAACATATTGAATACGTCAAAAATGAAGCGTATTCAAAATGGCCGAATTCCAGCACAAATTTGAACGAACAATTTAATGCAAATAATAATAATAATAATAATAATAATAATAATAATAATAATAATAATAATAATAATAATAATAATAATAATAATAATAATAATAATAATAATAATAATTTAATTTTTTTTTTTTTTTTTTTTTTTTTTTTTGTATTTATTTAAGACATTTTACATCCGCAGATGCATTCATGTCTGTTTCAGTTAAGTGTAATGATGTGTGGGTGTGAGTGTAAGTGTTTATGGTTAATTGCACTTAGCTTTGTTTCGTCTCCTTCTGGTTCTTCGTTGATCATTACATTTCATCTCTTTCACTTCTGCTTCTCAATTAATTTCACTTTTACTTCTTCTATCTTTTCTTCATCATCTTGTTCGTAGCCTTCGTCCGTTTCTTGTTATTCGCCATGATGATATTTCGTTGACGGGTCTCTTTCATTTTGCTGAATCGGTTGCGGCATCTTCCCATATCTGATCATGTGTTGCTTGTTGGTATTCTTCTTCATTCACTTTTAATCTATCTTCTTCTTTCTTCTCACCATACTTCAAATTATTTTCTTTACTTCTTCACCAGCTTCTTCTTCAATTCCATTGTTTTGATTTCCTCTTCCCCATCTTCAAGATTTCTCCAATTTTCCATCGGTGTCGCCTTCTTCATTTTACTATTTTCCGCTTTATCTTCTTGATCTTCTTCGTCTTTTTCCGCTTCATTTTCCGCTGCGCTTTTACTTCATCATAATTTTTCTTTTGATCTACTTCTTCTTGTTATTCTTCTTCCATCCCCTATCCGCTTTGTATTCTTGATGACCTTCACCTTCTTTACATGACCGTATGAATTTTGTCCAGCTCATCTTCTTTGATCTTCATCCAGTTACAAGTTTGCCTTCATCATATTCTTCCTTCCTTCCTTGCTCGGTTAACTGTTTCACCTTCTTGCCTCTACACCGGGTTTCGGCTGCTCCATCTTCTTCACATTCTTCCTTCCTTCCTTGCTTCGTTAACTGCTTCACCTTCTTGTCGCTACACTGGGCTTCGGCTGCTCCATCTTCTTCACATTCTTTCTTCCTTGTTTGCTCCGTTATCTGCTTAACCTTCATTGCCGTTACACCGGGTTTCGGCTGTTCCTTCTTCTTTTCTCTGTATTCTTCAAATTTTTCGGTAAAGTCCAGTTTGGCGTAGAAAATTCAGCATATTTGTGGTTTGCTCCTCAGAGTTTCCTAGCGCATCTCGTAAGCTTGTTGTATCAATGTTGTTCTCTTGTCGTCGCCTTTCATAGTTTTTACACTGCAAAATCACGTGTCGCACGTCTAAAACTGTTCCACAACAACTGGGCGGGGCTTCTTTCTTCAGTAAGAACGTATGGGTTAGCCGCGTGTGACCAATTCTCAGTCGTGTAAGCACACGCTGGTCGAAAGTGCTTCCCCGTTCCGTCCACTTGTGCGTGTCGTCTTTGACTTCTCTAAGTTTGGAATCTCTGGTCGCGAACCATTGGTCGTTCCAACGTTGGCGAATGTTTTGCATCACCATTCTCAGCGCATCATCGCCTGGGATTGGTACATCAATGGGAGGTTGTGTTCTTGCCATGTTTGCCAATCGATCAGCTTCGTTGTTTCCGTGGATGCCAGCGTGTCCAGGTATCCAGCAGAAACGGACGGATTTGTTTCGTGATATTTGCTCCACTTCCTGAATCCACGGGTGCTTAGATGTTCCAGCTTCTAAGGCGTGGAGACAACTTGCAGAGTCCGTTAGAATGACTAACTCGTTCGAAATATTCGGAATGGAAACAGCCATCTTAATGGCGTACGCCTCTGCAGAAAAAACGCTGCATTCCTTTGGGAGGCTGTACTTTCCCGCTAAACCATTGTTATGGAATGCGGCACCTACAGTGTTGTCATGTTTCGATCCATCGGTGTAGACGACGGTTGATCGATGGAAGCGGGTCGACAGCAGTTGTTGCACTACCGGGCGGACTTTCTCTGGAGGATCGCCGGCTCGTATGCATTTTTTGACGTCCCACAGGATTGAAGGTTTTCGTGTGTGCCACGGACGATCGGTCTGCCGTACAAGTTGACCGACAGTGGGGAGCGCTGAGTTTGTCAGTTCATTGAGGCGATCCGATGCTCGTCGAATGAGAGGGAGGCTGTTGTTGTTCTGATTCTTTGCTAGTATCCGAATTGCAATTCGCGCGATGGATTGTGCTGCTAGCAGTTCGAACGGTAAGGTGCCCGCTTCAGCCATGATCGATTGTATCGGGCTAGTGACGAAGGCTCCGGAAGCAAAGCGTACCATTTTATTGTATGCTGGGGCAAGGTTTTGCAGGGTTACCGGTCCTCCTCGGCTAAC